AGAAATTGTAGAATGAGGACAACATGACAGCGGTTGAAAAAAGAAACAAATGAAGATCAGTGCAAGTTCAATCTAGAAGAATACATACTATGCTATTCATTTTATCTCTTACTTCCCCAGCTGCCTCTAATAGGTTAATCATGGGCGTCACTCTTTTAGTTAAAGGTCACCTATTATACAAAATCTACTTTTTCATGTATTTTCTACATCAACATGTGTCCCCTCGGTGTAAAGAGATTCTGAGAGTTTCAGGAAAAAATATTGTCTCTCTTTTTGTCCTGATCCATTTATATAAAAAAACTGTCCTAAACCTAATGAGCTGATCAGATTTTGGACACTTTATGATGTCATAATGTTTTTTTGGCTTGAGTAACTATTAGCTAATCACCAACCAAGGTAACCTCCCCCACCTTATCACCTGAAACTCCTAGAGCACCATTGTGTTATTTTTAACCAAATATCTCTCAGAGTCAAGTGGGGAGTGGCTCCTTGTTTTCATCTACTGTAGGTGGTGTTGGCGCAGTGGGTTAGAGCGTTGATCATCAGATCAAGAGGCAGTTCGAAACCCGTCTCCGCTGCCACTGCGTCAGGCCGTTGTGTCCTTGGGCAAGACACTTAACCCTAATTTGCTCCTGTGGGTGTTGTCCACAGTAATGACTGTTACATGTCTAATATGTGTAATGTGTATTTGTAAAGTGCTTTGAGCACCTGGAAAAGCGCTCTAATAAAAATGTAATGCATTATTATCTAAAGTAACAGACAGAGAATCAGCACTTTCGAAACAGGGCTGGGACAGAAGGGTTTATGGGATGCTGCAATGCAAATTGGTGTTTCGAGCCAAACACTTCAGAGACATGTTTTGTATATATCTGAGACCTACAAAATATTGATGAAAATAGGGGACCTTTAACCAACTAGATTTTGACACTATCTCCAACATCTGCACCACACGATGGGGTCTGATCGTCAACGAATATTCACATTTCTATCAAAGTGAATATTCTTTAATCAGAAAATAAGTCTCTCCTGATTGAAAGTAAAGTTAATAAAATGGCGCGGCTGTAGGATTTACATCATGGCCGTGTTTTAAAAGTATGCATGGCGGAATGTTAATGAGAACATTAGTTCTTTATTAAATATTAATTCTTTATTAAATATTTTTATAAGCAATGCAAACAGATTAGTAGGAATATTGTCTTTTTTAAATAAAAGCAAAAACCTGAATATTTTGTGTATGTAAATGTCAGTACATTTTTATTTAAGCTTTATTTAACCAGATGAAAACATTGAGACGATATCTCATTTACAGTGCTGACCTGGTCAAGAAGGCAGCAACGTTACACGTTCTTACACATAACACAGACATATCAACAATACAATGTAATGATGGTGGTATATCAAATACAGAAAACACAACTAAGAAAAGCAGTCACTACATTGTGCACATTTGGGACAGTAAGGTACACTACTTATTACTGCAAGAGCAGCTGGTGGTAAGGACGTCAGACAATTTCAATTTAAATGTAATTTAAGTTAAGTTTCGGGCCAGGCGGTAAACAATGAACTGAACGGTTAAATGCTCTGCAGAGATAAGAGGAACTGTGAAGTTGGGAGAAATGTCTGGATTTATAACTGCAAGCAACTCCATTCACATAACACAAAATAATTTCCCCCCCATTGTTGATGGAAAGATATATCTTGTGAAGCTCTAACCTCAACTTGTTCCCAACAGCTGTGAGGTTTTTATTTGAACAGATGAAAACACTATGTCTTATTTTTGCTGTTGGCTCATTCTTCTATTTGTGGTAAACCCATTTAAATTGAAACCACATGATAGTTTGTGCTCATTTGACAAAATGTTCTTTCAGACAAAAGGATATGGGCACTGACTTCTAACAGGAGCCGGTTCCTGTTTTTCAGAAATCATGGTAGAACAAAAATAAACCCAAGGCCAAACACTATCTCTGCTAATGCTTATGTGCAAAGATTTAATCAGTTTTCCTCAACTAGTAGAATCTCCATAGAAAAGAGGAATCAGAATCTTGTCCATTTAACATAGATTACTTGTAATAAAGTTTTTTGAACATAAAAAAACGTTGACAGGAGCCTTCCACGTCATCACATATATGACCTGCTCTATCGTTTAAAAATCAGTCAACTAGACCCCGAAACACATTTTGAATTATATACACTGTCGGGAAGAGGATACTTTCAGCTTTCCGATCATATCCATATTGTTTTTAAAATATATTTCGTGACCTCATGACTGTTACAAAGAAACCATTTTGAGAAAATGGCCTTCAACATTTTTTATTTAGCCAACATTACAACCCAGTCTCACGGCATTTCGTGTTATAGTCACAAAATGTAATCTATTGATTCGTGTTCACCAACACCATTTCCCCCTTTTTTTCATGCAGAACAATTTTTAAAGCAATTTATTTCTATTGGTAGTGTGTTTCGTGCCTGCACCACGTATTTTTGTCCGGTCGTCCGGTCGGGTCTTAGAAGACCGGAAGCTGTGTGGTTCATAAAAACATTTTCTTACTCAATATCAAGCCACGATTATTGTTTTTATTTTAAATTGTATAATGTCGGAATTGTTTTGCCATACATGAGGAAAATAAATGGGGCTCAGAATCTCAGAATACTGAAATAAGTATTTTTTAAATCTTTTTTTCCTTCTAATTTGTTATTCTTTTCTAAATAACACACTGTTATTTACTCAACATTAACACACAATTATCCTTGCTTTTATTAATTTGTTTAATTTTATAATGTCGGGCTATCCACACTCAGCTACCGCACCGCAGCTGCACTGTACAATCGCTGGAGGACTGGGCTGTGACTCAAAAACCGAGTTGCCAATGGGGACGCACCCCTGAAAGTCCCGCCACCTGGGAGGTTTGTGTCAGAAACGAGAAAAAAAATGAGGGAGCGCAAACGAGAAGAGCTGCAGCGAGAGCAAAAGTCTGATCATTGAGAAAGAAGAAACAAGAACTGCAAACAAAAACCTATGTTAAAACAAAGAAAAAAGACTTATAGTTTACATGATTACACAAATGATTTATTTGCAACTTATAGTTTTAATTTTGAAATTACATTTATTTTGCTTGATTCATTTTTTTTTCTCTTAAGGCGAGACACGGCAGGCAAAAACATCGTTTTTCAAGTACTGGTCAATTTTGAAATGTTGTGCTATTTTGATTCCATAACATGTTTTCTTTCAGGCTTTTGGAAGGAAAACGTACAAAATACACATTTAAGTGTTTATTTTACTATAGTTTGTCTATTTGCGTGTGTAGATTTCTCCTAAATTCACCAAAAGTTAGCATTCTAACGTAACATAAAGTACCGCGACCGCTGTGTGCACCATGTCAACAGAGGTATCGCTGGAAAGCTCCGTCTCTCCTGCACAATCTCATCGGATCCAAATATGGTCATTTCCTTTGTATCAGCAACCAATCGTGAAAGCACAAAGGGGTCTTAAACCAAGAAACGAAATCTCATTGGCTGGTGTCAATTTCTGACAACGTGATTCGTTCAGATGCGTCACGTGGTGTGCTAAAACACTTCCTGGTTAGCTTTCAGCTAGAAATTGAAATCTCAAAATGCCAAAAGAACGGCGAAAAAAACGTTCACAGAGAAGACGACAACAATTGTCACTTGCACGAAGCAAGGTTATAAAAAAAAAAATGACCCTGAACATGAAATACCTTCACGGAGTGCGTCGATGCGCAAGCTGTCATCCAAAGAACAGGAAGGTTTAGCTAGCGCCTCACTGCAATCTTTAAAGGTCGTTTTCTCAAAATGAGTTTTTTCTCCTACTCTGAGTTCGAAATTTCAACTTCAGTAGCACGTACATACACCAAACCTTCCAGTTATATTCCTATCAATATTATGAAGGCTTTTACAGAAGGGTTTGTTCATATATCATTCATAGCCTGAATTATACAACATTGTATACCTAAAAACATGGTGAAAATTGATATTTTAGGGCTGTTGACAGTATTTTCTGATTTATGGAATGATAAAAAGAGATATCCAATATCCCTTCTGTAAAAGCCTTAGATACTAATATGACTACAAAATGAAACAAGAATTTTGAATCTGGCTATATCCAAAGTTCAGATTTCGATTCCTGAAATGTGTTAAAATATGTGCATATTTAATGAGATAATGGGTAATTTGCATATTTAAACATGCTATTTCAGAAAACTTGTAATACAAAAGACAATTGCCTTATTTTAAGTAATTAACTGGAGAAATTTCTAGCTGATACCTTTAAGTTAAAAAAATTACCCTATTCACCTGGGGTGTCTCGCCTTAAACTCTTAGTTTTGCTTGATTCTGAGAAAGTGTTGCTTTATCTTTATGAAACAAAAATATTCCCATACAGGGGGGGGAGCGGCGCTGATCAGAGGGACAGTGATCGCTGTCGCTCTGTCCTTACAAGCTTTAAAAATGTAGTTCTCGTCTGATCATGGCAATAGAAGTTTCATTTTCTGAGAGCCAAGAGTTTTTTTGTTTAAAATCAAGCAAAAGGACGAAAACAGGAGTCCATGTTTATCTCCGAATGCACGGTTGCAACATCTGACTGATTTTGATAGAGCAGGTCACACACAGCATTGACCCAGCTTTACTTAATCATTTTTGAATTTCACAAAGCAAGCAATGAACCCGTTCACCTAAGTCACATATTGCAATCAGATGGACTCCATACAACAGGATTTAACAAAACAGTTTTTATATTTTCCCAATTACAAAGAATAACAACAACCAGAACACACATCAAAACTGCCACAGCCCTTCCAGATGGCTGTTGTGTCTGCAACACTGTACATCTGCCATCATCCGTAGAAGACGGAACACACTGTCACGATACACTGGTTCGACGTGGCTTTCCCTCTGTGTCCCTTCAGCTCTGACGCCTCAACTGCTGCTGTCACGGTAAAAGCACACTGCGTATCACTACCCAACACTTTCCATACTGACACCTGTCAAATCACAGCTGCAGTTCCAGCACCAAAGAAAAAATACTTCAGATGCTTCAGAGATTCTCTATATCAATCTGACCTCCACATTGTGGCCATTAATAGCCATGATTGAAGAGCACAACAAATATTCTGGATTTCCCTCGTCTGCCCAGCTGTGTCCTCCAAGTCTTCCAGGTTAGTTGCTAGTTTTTATTAGCGACCTTTATTTTTGTTTGACCTTGCCTGCTCCCCCAGTTTGTAAGTGTTTATTTGTAACACATTTGCTTTAACTTAATAAAGTGCCTTTTGTTTCTGCTTTGACACTCACCTCTTTAACTCTGCATTTGGGTCCTGATTCCCTCCCCTGTGACAGTTTTGATACATTTTTCCGCAGATGATCCAGGCACTGAGGATGTTAATAATCCCAAAACAAGCTTCAACTACGCGAGGACAACCAAGACACGGATGAAGCACAACCTCAAGTAAACCAAAGTAAGGGCTGCTTTTTGTCAGAAGGGATTTTCAGGATCTCTCAGGAAACATGTTGGAATGTCAGTCGTGGTTGTGGTCGCTTTTATGGGATTTGTTGATCTTCATTCAATATTATTATTAAAAGGCTAGTAATCATCTGTGTTTGGAATGCCGCCCTAGGCCAATCATTCTGTATTACACAAGACAAATAAAGTGATGGTTTGGTAAGTAGGAGACAGGAGAGACTGTAAATCCTCATTCCAATGATCCATGGCTTTTTCAGTTACAGGGAGTTTCGTAGTGAAGCAAAGGAAAGAGCACCCTCAACCTTGCAATTACAGCCCATAATCATAACTCAGCGCCACGACAGCTCTGTCCTCCTATATTTGGCCCTGGTTTCTATTGGTCCTAATGCAACACTAAACAAACAACTCATGTGCTTATTGATGTGCACTAACATCAGTGGCGTAACTCTTGACGGTGCAGCCGATGCAACGCGACGGGGCCTAGAGCAGGCCAGGGGCCCATGCAAAACAAAACATATATATTTTTACATATACTTTTTTAATATTTAAAAAAAATAAAAATGTTGGGGCCCCAATGGCATTGACCGGTTCACGCAGTCTTCAAAGTAACCAAGCAACCTAAATTAATTTGTAATTTGTCTGTCCAATGACCTTGCTCCCTTTCATGTCATGTGATACCTTGCGTGACGAGCGAACCGTTTAATCTACCTCAAAAGTTATAGGTATTGCAGCAGCAAGTTTGGCAGCATTATAAAAAATGTAATAGCTTGCATTTATAATGTACAGCAAACCAAAGCACAAGAGCAGCGCTCAAAAGAGAAAGGACAGGAGAGAACAAGGAGATGTAACAGCTAAACTCTTTTTTTTGTCATACTTCGTCCTGGAAATCGAGCGCTAACGTTAGCAATGTTGACGTGCAGACGGAGCCGGAGGCTAACGATAGCTCATTTGCCTCACCACCATCATTGCCATCTAGCTCCACAAGTGAAGCTGTATCCGTGCAACCTTCTTCTCCAGCCAGCCAGGAGGAGAGGCTGGATTTGGCTGTGTCCGGCGGTGGTCCAACAGTTCCTCCAATGGCCCCAACCGATAGGGGACTCTATGGCGCTATTGAGAGCCCCGATGCCAAGATCAAAATCTGTATTATAGCAACTGGTCTATGTAGGCCTACCGGCCCATTCCCCAGAGACAAACATCAAGGAAACAGCTTTAATCCTCTTCTTAGTTCGCTGTGCCGTTGTCAGGCTGTGGTGGTCTGAGGCCAGGGCAGGCTGTTGTTGATAGCCTATACATGTGGCGCTTCTGAGTGGTTGTGTATGTCCGTGCGTATGTGAGCGCATGCACTTATGTTTGGGGCGATGGCGGGGGGCGCCCCAAAACAATATTTGCACCGGGGCCAATCACAACCTTGTTACGCCACTGGCTAACATGTAAACAGATGGACCAAATCCTATGACCCAATATAGCTCCTTCTCATCTTCAGTGTCACAAAGAATAGTTGCCATGCCACTTCACAAATGTGGCCCTTCGGGGGTTAGAGGCAGTGGCGGTTCTAGAACATTTTACATGGGGGGGCAAAGGGGAGGCAAGAGGTCATGCCAGGGTGGCATAGGAGGGCGGACAGTACGTGGTATTTTATACTGTATATAACCTATTTATTGTTAATTCATGCCCTAACACAAGTGTTCTTAATGCACAAGAGAAACAAGGTGTTCAGACAAACAATCGGGTGCCCTTTGAGTCCCCCAAGCTTACCTCAACCATTTTAAATGAAAGAAAACTACAAAATGCATTTTAAAGCAATGAATTAATGGAACAGGTTGTTTTGCATTACAATGTAAAATTAAATATATATTTTGTTTTAAAAAAAATTGGTTGTCTTAGACAGACATATTTGCATGTCTTCACTAAGCATTATTACATACTAATTTAATATTAAACAAATCAAAATGGCCAATTATCCCAAAATGTTGCTGCTAATATAATATGCTTGTCAACTTTAACTGATCAAAAATCAATTCTGAAAAAATACTTGAATTATCTATGAAATTGTAATATTGTCCCTCAGTTTGTTTCAACCCCGTCACACCATACCATTTACCCTCCTATTAAAATAATGGATCAGTCCATTGCCTACTTTTTGTCAAAAACTTCAACCCTGTTACATTTGTTCAAGGAAATTCCTAGTAATTATTTATATTTTGTGCCTGAGGTGGGAACATGTAAGTAGTCCACTACCAGATGTTATGACCAAACATTTTGGTTTCATTTTTCAAAGATATAAAGACCCAAAAGGCACCCGATTCAGAGAATACTCAGAATTCTGCATACTGTAAGTACTTAATTATAATTAAGTACACAAATGACATCACCCATCTCTTCAGAGAGCTAAAGGTGAGCTGTGCAGCAACACATTTCAATCAATATTTGTCAATACTAAGAGCTGCTAGATTGAGCTGCTGTAATGGAATATGTAAGGAGAATAAGAACATACCATGTGGTCCAGCTGGAGTCTCATCTGCCTCCTGATCCCTGCCTCTGTCCCTCTTTCTGATACTTCATCTTTATTCCTCACAGACATTTCTTCTTCTTCACTAATGTCTTCATCTCCTCCTCTTCCTCCTGCTCTGACCCTCCTGGTCTCTTCATCTCCTCCTCTTCCTCCTGCTCTGACCCTCCTGGTCTCTTCATCTCCTCCTCTTCCTCCTGCTCTGACCCTCCTGGTCTCTTCAGCTCTCTTTTCATTTTCCTCTTTCTGTTCGTCCTGATCACTAGGGGCGGACTGGCCATCTGTAGAATCTGGAGAACCACAGAACGGCCGGTCGTCAAGGTCCGTTGACGGCCGGCCGGCCCTTTAAAAAAAAAATTGTTTAACGTCATCATTTAAATTGCACTGACGGCCGACAGAGGGCGACAGCGGCCGCTAATGCAGTTGTGTGGTTCTTATCTGTCAAATAATCACACACGAAGAAGAAAAAAGACCGGCCACACGAAGCGAAGGGATTAGACGCCGCGGCAGACAGGGAGAATGAAAAAACATGGATACAAATCAAAGAAAACAAAAATAAAAAGGTGGGGCCGAGAAGGCAAGAGAGAAAAAGGTGAAGTCACTCGCAGGTGAAGCATATTAATGTCGCAAATTGACAAACCTTTTTGGCAGCAGCGCTGCTACAAGCACTATCATCAGCAGCTTAGAACAAGTGCAAGATGATGAAGAGAATGATGAGGGCACGAGTTCAGATATACAGCCAGCCTCCTGCGTTCATAATGAGGGACAGAGAGTTGAGCTGGTGGAAGAACCATCTCAACTGGCACATACAAGTGCAGAGCAAGAGGTGGGTGAGAATTATCCCTTGAACTCAGTGGCGTTTTCTCCTGGACGCCAAGGGAAGCCAGGCTTCCCCTGTTTTTTTGGATTGTAGTTATAATAAATAAATAAAAACACTTTGTTTAGTTTCGGTAATTATTCTGCCGGCCCATCTCTCCCCCATTCTCATTGAGTATTTTACAAAGAGTGAAACAGCGCCCCTCTAGATGTTATGATGAAACAGTATTGCACTCTCTGTTGCGAGAGGAGGCTAGCCAAAATTGGCTTCCCTTGTTGAAAAGAAATTGAGGGATTGACCAATCAGATGAGGCTCACTCATGCCTCACAATCCAATCAAATCGCATCAACTTCAGTTCGTACCGTAACAATTAGCTTTATTTAGCAATTATGGAGGGTGGAGATTTGGAGTATTTCATCAAAAATAATTGTACTAAACTTCTGCTACAGCAGCAACTAAAAATGAAATCTGATGACAGGCCAATGCCCAAACTGGAGCTGTGTACAGAGAGGAAAAAAGGAGCGAATCGGACGTAAAACTTTAAATAACAAACAGCGGATTTCTAACATTTGACATTTCATGTGGCCGGACTGGGTCAGTTTCCAGGGCTGAATTTTGGTCCCAGTCCGCCCCTGCTTCTCATATGTCTTTTTGTTGTTGTTGAATCACTCCTATACTCTGGCCTGCAAGAGTCTACTTGTAAAAAGCACTGGTACAAATGCTTGTATAACTTTACACGTTAGGGCCATGTAGCCTAGCTAATATGTAGCATATCATAAATATAACATCAGAAAGTATTGATCAAGCGCACACAGGCAGCTGTGTTTGGATCCAGTTTTTACGGTAAAGGATGTATCCTGGTTTAATTGATCTGGCCTCATGGCTGTGATGTGTAGTTTACGTGGATTTAATAGTAGGCTACCGCGTAGTTTAGCAAAGTGATCGATCTCCCAGCTAACGCTGTCTGCGCAGTATTTTGTAACGTAACGCCCCAAACAGCGCCCGTCTGTTAAACGCTATCGATTCAAACGGCAGCGTTTTATTAATATTTAGTTTCAAGCTCTCGTCCTTAGTAAAAACAAAACTAGTGGAAAGGGAAATGCTCCCAGGGGAAGCTGATCCATAGATGCTGGGACAGCTCGCTCCCTATCTGCAGCGCTGTGAGCCGCGGTCTGTGTGAACGCCGCTCCGCAGTTTAATGCAGGGCCGTAGCAGCGTTTTTATCGGGCCTAAAATGATATTTAAAATAATTCAATTTTAACTAATGTTTTGTTTTGTTGCTTGAGAAGCTTGTGGAAATAGTGTAGGTTTGTTTTAGTACAGTTTTAGGGAAACAAAAGTTAGGGGGGGCAGCTGGGGGGGGCAAGGCTCTACAGCTGCCCCCCCTTTCCCCCCCGTAGATCCGCCCCTGGTTAGAGGCCTTTCTCTTTGTACGTTCTACTTAATGTTTTAATGCACTGCGAAACAGTAGAAAGCAACAATAACAGGAAATACTGCAGAGAAACGGAGACAGAAAGAAAGACCATCTTTCAAGACCTTTCCTCGTCATCCTTTTTTTCTTTGTAATTTTGGTTTCTCTTATGTTTGACATCAAAGATGTTGAAATTGTTTTCCCCGAAGTTGTGTACTCTGTAATTATTAATCTGCCTTGCAAGACGACTGCCTTTGG